ACCAGTATCAAACAGACCAGCAGAGGCATAACGTGTTCGCTGTAGCACCACTGCCTAATCCGATCAGAGGTCCATCCTACGCGGCTGCCGCAGCTAAGGCTAAAGATACTAGTCACATAACTACGCCCCGGCACACACTATTACTATATCCTAAGGAAGCCACCTGCTCCACCAGTCAAGACCTTAAGGCTAAACTCAGCCAGGAATTCCCACTCCCCAAGATAGGAGTAAAGGTATCCACAGTCAGAAACATACAAAAAGGAGGGCTAGCCGTTGACTGTCACACGAAGGAGGACCTTGACAAGCTAAAAAAATACGCTAAACAGTGCAAAGGGACAAGAACTGGTAGAGACCAAGCTTCCCGCCACAAGACTTCCAAGAGTTGCTATCCACAGCGTCCCACATGAAGTCCAGGAACACGAAATAGAACGAGCTTTGGCATCGGAGCACAATGCTACCAAATCAACAGTCAAGATCCTCTACCGCCTCCGAGATAGAAGAAACACAGTTAAATGGGTTCTTGACTGCCAACCTACAGTCTACCAGCGAATCATGCAGGCTCCCAGACTCTACCTCGGCTGGCGGGCATACCGAATTGCAGACTTCTACAACACCAAGCGATGCTACAGATGCCAGGAACTCGGCCACACTCAAAAGGAGTGCTCCAACAAACATTATTGTGCATACTGCACAGAAGAACACGACATCCGTGAATGCCGAGCGCAGCAGCCCGCGTGTATCAACTGCGCAGACTATAACTATAGGACAAACAGGAGCATCCCCTGCGATCATCCAGCCTATGATGTCAACTGCCCCTCGTACGGAAGATACATCGCTAATATCAGACGCAGTACCAGATACGAGTGATTTGCCACAGCCGCCGCCCACTCAAATAATGCAAACACCAGACATCCAACGAGAAGTTATCAAATGCATCCAGATTAATTTACAAGAGCAAAAGCCGCCGCGTCACAATTGATCCAACATACAATCAACCATCAACCAGATATACTATTGATTCAAGAACCTTACTGCAGAGCAGGGGAAGTCGCCTGTTTGCCACTCTGTTGGAAAATATTTCAGCGCAAAGCACAACAGAATGAGCCACCACCAAGAGCAGCAATCGCCTGCTGCAACCCGCTCTGGTCCCCGCTGATAATTACACAGAAGCGAGACCATGTAGCAATCCTCCTCAGCTTCTCAAATTCACAGATCATCATTTCCTCCATCTACAGTCCCCCACCGGATGATATCCACCAGACCATCATGAGCATCGAAGAAGTAAAGACAAAGTGCCCCACAACATCACATGTTATAGGCGGTGATTTTAATGCCCACAACATCATATGGGGTTACCCAGCTACCACTCCAAAAGGGCAAGTCTTGGAAGACTACATATTGGCCAGCAATCTGCAAATCATAAACACCCCCAACGCGCGCCACCCACATTTGACAACACGTACCACCACGGATGGCCAGATATTACAGTGACTACTAATGATATAGCCAATAACCTACAAGACTGGATGGTAGCAGATGAAGAGAGCTGCTCGGACCATCGCTACATACACTTCAATATTGCAAGCGACACAAGGATCAGCATCTTTAAAAGATACAAACTTCCGGGTAACAAATTGCGAATACTTAACAAAGCTTTCTCTCTAACATTACAGCAAGAAGAGCAGGAGCTAAGTCAATACAAGAGCCCCAATGATCTGAACACTTATACCGAGCGGCTGCTTGACACTCTACGGAGCATTTGCGATCAGCACCTGCCCACCAGAGCAGCAAAATGTTTGCAAGGAATTTCCTGGTGGACAAAGGAACTGCGACAGCAACGGCAAAAGTGCAGGGCTTTACGACGTCGCCTTCGCACCAACATTAACGAAACCACCAAGAATGCAATACTAGCAACCTTTAGGGAGGAAAGAGCGCATTATAAAAATAATATCCTTAAAGCCAAAATAACCAGCTGGCGTAAGTTCTGCACAGAAAATAACAACCCATATGGAATTCTACACAAGCTTGCCACCAACAAGGTCTTTAAGCCGGATCAACTCTATGCCCAAATTGCCAACCAACCCATTACCACCAACATAGCAGAATCCACGGCAGCCACAACCTTAAACACAGTCTTCCCAGCAGACGATCCGGACGATGACACGCCAGAGCAAAGGCACACAAGGGGAAACACCACTATCCCAGAGACTTCAGACGACGAACCATTTGAAATGGAAGAGATCAAGCAAATCTTTCGACAGCTTCCAGTCAAAAAGGCACCAGGTCCTGACGGCCTGGATTATGCAATAATCAAGGTCGCCTTCAACGCTCGACCCACTTACTTTAAAGTTCTGTTTAACAAGCTTCTACATTGTCAAATCTTCCCTACTGCATTCAAACAAGGACAGGTCGTCCTGTTTTTAAAAAAGCACAAATCCCCGGAAGATCCAAGATCCTTTAGACCCATATGTCTGTTATCTGCATTGGGTAAGATCTACGAAAAACTGCTAGTCAACAGGCTGAAGCACCATCTATACCGACAAAACTTTCTTAGCCCACATCAATATGGATTCAGGACAGGCACATCTACCATCCATGCTCTAGAACACATTCGAAAACATATAAATGACAACAGAATCAACAATCTACATACTGCATTTATCTCTTTAGATCTTCAAAGTGCCTTTGATACTCTCTGGTGGCCTGCAATAAAGCAGGCCCTCAGGGAGGCAAAGTGTCCAAGGAACCTTTTTAATATCTTCACTGACTATCTCCACTCTAGAAGTCTAATTATAGTCAATAATAACGGTGTCGTCACTAAACAGCAGGAAAGAGGGTGCCCACAGGGGCTCATGTGCCGGGCCTCTACTGTGGATAATCACGTTTAATTCCTTATTACAAATCAAATGGCCTACCCATACCAGAGTGATAGCATATGCAGATGATGCGGCATTGCTAGTCTCTGGCCGCACAAGAGAAGAACTCGAACGAAATGGTACGGAAACCTGTTCCATATTTTCAGATAAATGCAGTAGACTTAAATTGATCATTTCCGCACAGAAGTCAACGGCAGTAGTCATCCCACGACCGAGAACTAATCCAACGCGACGGCCGTGTATAAAATTGATGGGACGAAATCTAAAGATCTCAAAAACCATAAAGTATCTCGGACTTACATGGGATCAGGGTCTCACATGGCTGCCCCACCTTCAAGACATCAGAGTCAAGACAGCAAATATAGCTAAGAAAGCCAGACAATTCCAGGGAAGCAACTGGGGGCAAAACCCTCACATCCAGAAACTGCTATATCTAACGGTAGCGGAGAGAATTGTTCTTTACGCATCGGCTATATGGGCGCAACCAATGAGCAGTCGCAAGATCAAACTCTTGACAACAATACAACGGCCATTTGCTCTAAACATAAGTAGGGCATATAGGACAACGGCATCAAGTGCAATAACGGTCCTTGCGGGACTAACACCCCTGCACATAAAGGCCAGCATAGAAGCTGCATATGAGCGCCTAATTAGGCTAAAACAAGATGCCAACTTTGCTGGCACCGCCTTCCATGCAACACAGTATGAATTACCAGGGAGTGTGCAGTATGTGCACCCGGCACACAAAAGTAAAGGCATCCATGTCGTGACAGCACAACACCCAACGCCTCTCAGAGAAACTCCACATGTGAACTCACGATTCTACACCGATGGATCAAAGCATGACAATGGAGTGGGATGCGCCTTCGTTCACTTCAAAAATGACCGAGTGGAAAGCAAATGGAAAGGCCATCTCGCTACCCACAACAGCATTTTCCAGGCAGAAGCTGTGGCAATAGCAGCTGCAATTCAGTATGCTCAGGATATCAATCTCAATCTAGCAGCAACCGAAATTCACACAGACAGCATGTCAGTGCTACAGGCAATCATGAATCACCACCATACCTCACCCACAATTATAGCAATCCAACAGCTCCTGCGTAACAATATGCAAACACACATCACAAACTAATCTGGGTGAAAGGACATGATGGCATAGAGGGTAACGAGATGGCAGACCAGTTAGCAAACGAGGCGGCACTCAACAAACGACGCGCAAGAGGTGACAACTCCAATCCCGACTTCGTATTTAAAGCGAAAGCTAAGAGAACTAAGCAAAGAACAGTGGCAACAGGAGTGGGATAACTGTGATACAGGAAGAAGGACACATGGATTCTACCCAATAGTAGACAACGAACGTCTCCAGGCCATTGCACCCTTGACATACTATATCACGGGGCACGGCCCATTTCCATCCTATTTTCAAAGACATGCAATTTCGATGACAGATATATGCGTCTGCGGGGCAACTGGCTCCCCCGACCACTACATATTTGAATGCAGCCTTACATCCAACTTACACCTACCACTCCCAGCCACAAATATAGAATCATATAAACGATTCATCATTAAGCACCCACCAGCGGTCAAAAAGATCTGCCAAATAATTAGGCAGGTCAACGACCTAGGGCAAGATATCTGCCAACCAAACTAGCGTCAATTAAGGCGTCTCATAAAGCAACCACAGTCAGCTTTCACTACCAAATCATCAACAGAATTCTGACAGTCTCTTATACTGACAATCAGCTGAATGCAACTTACAATATGTTTAAATTATGTGCTGCGCTTATAACATAACTGCACTGCAACATAACTGCAGACATAGCTGCTTACTGCGTACAGTACTCACTTACGGCGTATAGAGCAAACTACTGACTATGAACAGACTGCTACCTGCATTGTGTCTCTGTAGTAGTTACAACGACTGAAATATCTATAGAAGTATTTCCTGGAATAACCACAGTTATTACAACAACTGCAAGTTATATATCAGTGTATAAGGTACTGTGCGCAGAGTAATTGGAACGCCCTGACAAATCGTGTACAGAACTTATCAACAGTGTACAGAGCTCAACACTGACTAATCACAGGTTACTACTTGCATGTCCATGCTAGTCCATGCTTAACTGAACAGTGTAAAACAAATGTGTATCCGACTTTGCATTGTGTAACCATTCTGTAAGCATTGTGTATATAACAAGCATCATGTATCTATTACAATACTAATATGCACTGTGTATTCTACAACATAGTGTTTCTCCTACAGTCATTGCCAGTACTGTATTACACAAACGCGTTATACAAACTATCTGCAATAAATATGCACCTCATTCTGCACTGAATTTGTCAAATTCTGCACAGTATCTGCTGTATATAAAGCATATAATTACTATGCAACTATCTACATTGCGTGTGCATTACCTGCAATACCTTACAACCTGTTGTGTATCTGACTTTGCACTGTGCATTTGTTCTGTGAGCAATGTGTATATAAAAAGTACTGTGTACCTACTTTAATCCAATAAACACTGTGCATCTAATATAATATAAAATAAGCTCAGCGCATTCTATAACATAGTGTCTCCACTACAGTTATTGCCTGCACATCATATCTGTATTACTCAAACTATCTGTATTATATCTGCACTGTATCTGACATATGCATAATGTATAATTCATCTATATCTATCAATATTGTATCTGCATTACCTGTATAATCTCATAGCTTCGCATAGAAAATATATAGCTTGGCAACATAGCATGCATGGTGCTGCGTACTATAATTGTGTGTATACAATAGTATAGATTTTTTTTAATGTGTAAGTATAATTGTGTTTATATAATTGTGCACAATTGTGTTATATACCGTAGTAGTATAGTGTTTTATTCTGCGTTTTAATACGTTAGTATAATTGTGTTTGCATAATTGTACACCATAACTGTGTTGTATATAGTAGTATAGTGTCTTATTTCGTTTGTACAATTGTGCGCAGTATAAATTCTAATATCTAATGCTTTACAAGCATAGTGTATCTGTTTTTTACATTGTGTATCAATTCTGTAAGCATTATGTATATAAAAAGCGCTGCATATCTATTCAAATTAAATAAGTATTGTGTACCTGATATAATGTATTGCATAATGTATTCTCCAGAGTAAAGTTTCATCTGTAATTACTATATCATCTAATAACAAAATTTAATATTCTACAGTGTGCCTGCATGCTTTATGTATGTTTATTTGCGCATTTTACATGTGATATGTGATCTAAATGTGTCTAAATGATCTAAATGTGTCTTTAGTGTAAGTGTATACTATATATTAGCTTAAATATGTTTCATTATAAGTATGTGTTTTACTTGTATAAGTGTGTGCAAACTAGTATCTAATTTCTATTTTTATATAATGTGCTTACATGTTTTATATGTGTTATATATGTGCTTTTATATGTGTTTTACAAGTGTTTTTATGTTTTAATGTTGTGTTTTGTATGTATCTTTATATGTGCAATTGTATGTACTTGTATGTGTATGTATATGCTGTAATTAGTGTCTAACAGTGTCTAAAAACCAAGATGTAACAAATCATCCGCCTATCGATCAAAACTAATGTATTCCTAAGACGCTCTGTATGGCCATGTACAATTACGTAAAATTCTTCAATAAACTCCCAAGGTGGCCTCATGAGGCTCCTGGGAGTTGCTGCCACTAGATAGGGGAGGGCGCGGGACATATGCCTGTTTACCTCTGTTAAACATCAGGCGTCCCCGTCCTCCGTCACCTGTCACCTGTACAATCTTAAATAAAATTTCAGAATGATAACATTAACCGCAATCGCGTTAAACGGCGTCTTCTGTATACAGCTTAGAATCTAATGCATCAAAACTTTAAATTGCAAAGATAATTCTTGGGAGCTCTGTACAATCTTAAATAGAATATAAGAATGATAACATTAACCGCAATCGCGTTGAACGGCATCTTCTGTATACAGCTTAGTATCTAATGCATCAAAACTTTAAATTGCAAAGATAATTCTTGGGAGCTCTGTACAACCTTAAATAAAATATCCGAATGATAATATTAACCGCAATCGCATTAAGCGGCGTCTTATGTATACAGCTTTAGAATCTAATGCATTAAAACTTTAAATTGTAAAAATAATTCTTGGGAGCTCTGTACAATCTTAAATAAAATATCAGAATGATAACATTAACCGCAATCGCGTTAAACGGCGTCTTCTGTATACAGCTTAGAATCTAATGCATCAAAACTTTAAATTGCAAAGATAATTCTTGGGAGCTCTGTACAATCTTAAATAGAATATAAGAATGATAACATTAACCGCAATCGCGTTGAACGGCATCTTCTGTATACAGCTTAGAATCTAATGCATCAAAACTTTAAATTGCAAAGATAATTCTTGGGAGCTCTGTACAACCTTAAATAAAATATCCGAATGATAACATTAACCGCAATCGCATTAAGCGGCGTCTTATGTATACAGCTTTAGAATCTAATGCATTAAAACTTGAAATTCCAAAAATAATTCTTGGGAGCTCTGATCAAATGAAATAATTCTTGGGAGATCTTAAATAAAATATCAGAATGATAACATTAACCGCAATCGCGTTAAACGGCATCTCCTGTATACAGCTTTAGAATCTAATGCATTAAAACTTTAAAGTGCAAAGATAATTCTTGGGAGCTCTGTACAATCTTAAATAAAATTTCAGAATGATAACATTAACCGCAATCGCGTTAAACGGCGTCTTCTGTATACAGCTTAGAATCTAATGCATCAAAACTTTAAATTGCAAAGATAATTCTTGGGAGCTCTGTACAATCTTAAATAGAATATAAGAATGATAACATTAACCGCAAACGCGTTGAACGGCATCTTCTGTATACAGCTTAGAATCTAATGCATCAAAACTTTAAATTGCAAAGATAATTCTTGGGAGCTCTGTACAACCTTAAATAAAATATCCGAATGATAACATTAACCGCAATCGCATTAAGCGGCGTCTTATGTATACAGCTTTAGAATCTAATGCATTAAAACTTTAAATTGTAAAAATAATTCTTGGGAGCTCTGTACAATCTTAAATAAAATATCAGAATGATAACATTAACCGCAATCGCGTTAAACGGCGTCTTCTGTATACAGCTTAGAATCTAATGCATCAAAACTTTAAATTGCAAAGATAATTCTTGGGAGCTCTGTACAATCTTAAATAAAATATCAGAATGATAACATTAACCGCAATCGCGTTAAACGGCGTCTTCTGTATACAGCTTAGAATCTAATGCATCAAAACTTTAAATTGCAAAGATAATTCTTGGGAGCTCTGTACAATCTTAAATAAAATATAAGAATGATAACATTAACCGCAATCGCGTTGAACGGCATCTTCTGTATACAGCTTAGAATCTAATGCATCAAAACTTTAAATTGCAAAGATAATTCTTGGGAGCTCTGTACAACCTTAAATAAAATATCCGAATGATAACATTAACCGCAATCGCATTAAGCGGCGTCTTATGTATACAGCTTTAGAATCTAATGCATTAAAACTTTAAATTGCAAAGATAATTCTTGGGAGCTCTGTACAATCTTAAATAAAATATCAGAATGATAACATTAACCGCAATCGCGTTAAACGGCGTCTTCTGTATACAGCTTAGAATCTAATGCATCAAAACTTTAAATTGCAAAGATAATTCTTGGGAGCTCTGTACAATCTTAAATAAATATCAGAATGATAACATTAACCGCAATCGCGTTAAACGGCATCTTCTGTATACAGCTTAGAATCTAATGCATCAAAACTTTAAATTGCAAAGATAATTCTTGGGAGCTCTGTACAACCTTAAATAAAATATCCGAATGATAACATTAACCGCAATCGCATTAAGCGGCGTCTTATGTATACAGCTTTAGAATCTAATGCATTAAAACTTTAAATTGTAAAAATAATTCTTGGGAGCTCTGTACAATCTTAAATAAAATATCAGAATGATAACATTAACCGCAATCGCGTTAAACGGCGTCTTCTGTATACAGCTTAGAATCTAATGCATCAAAACTTTAAATTGCAAAGATAATTCTTGGGAGCTCTGTACAATCTTAAAT